TACCAAAAAAAAAAAAAATCAAAAGATGGTGTTTCCTGGCACAGACACAGCAGAATAAGACCATTAACCCCTTCTAGCCTGCCCGGTCCAGTGTCTATAAACTGTTGTGTACAAGGTCCAGACTTGGGATTCACATTTAAAAAATAGCTTAGCCCTTTTTGGGGTCCTTGGATTTCATTAATTACTAGGCTTTTTAAATTTATAGAACTCCTTCTTTATCTAGTGTCTTTTCACAGCTGAGTAATATAATCCTAAACTATTCTCATTTCAATATTCCTCATTCTATGAAGATCAACCCTTACCCAGGACCAAGAGCTGGCTAGAAGCCTGCTGTGTGTCCCTCGAAGTAGAGAGAAACATGGGTCCTCTAATTCAGGCCCAGGCTGCTGGGAAGAGAGATTAATAGAGCCAGCAGTCACCATGGCTCTCAAAGGCTACACTTGGGTATGGAGCAGGAGAGCTGAGCCCATGCCAACACTGCGGGAAATATGGAAGGGAAAGAGTATGAAGGAGATGGTCAAGTGGGAGATGTGGAGTGCTTGGGCCATTACCTAAAATCCATAGGTTGCAGTTCAGTTTGCTAGTCTCAGCCTCAAGTGTACCAGATTCCACCCAACACCTACATCTTTGAGTACGGTCTTCCCTGGATCAGATGACAGTGGCCATATCCCAAAAGTCCTGATTATGCTCTGATTGGATCTTGAACTGTGTCTGTCACTCACACTAGTGAATCCCAATCAGGCCTTTCAGGTTTACGAAAAGAATTATATGGACAGAATTACAAAAAGAATCAGTGTAGACCGGTAAATTTCCTCACTTTTCATTTTGCTGATATAAACTGGGTACATAAATGCAAATAGGGGCTAGCCTTAGGTGAAATCTTTCAGCCCTCAGCCAAACTTGTTTTCTCCTTCTTCAAAGCAAAGAAACAAGATTCAGGCCGGGGTAGGTCATCACCAGGCAGAGAGCGCTCCCATCACTGAGAAAACATGGCACTGAGTTCTAAGCCCTGGTCTCCATTTAGGAGCTGGGTCACCTTGGGCCACTCACTTAACTTCTCTGAATTTGTTTTCTCATTATTAAATGGGATCTAATAATACCCATCACATAGAGCTTTGTGTGAGTTAAATGAAACAATGTAGCACAGTGCTGGCCTTTAGCTTTTTATTAAAATGTGATATGGCATCTATTTGAAACTCGAAAGTGAATATCAAGAGGACAAGCAATTTACTATGGAAAGGTAGCTGACTTTTTTAAAATAAAAAGAAAAGAAAATATATATGCAAAATGAGAGCTAAAAAGAATGGAATATATCTCCTTGGAAAATAATGCTTTGGACCCTATTGCAGGGCAGACAGTGGCTGGAAGTGTCGCTCCACCTCAAGGCATCACTGGGCTACAGTAAAAGGTCAGACCTCAGCTTAGCTCTAAGCTGGGAAGATAGAGATAGGGACACACGATTCAGCCCTCCCACCATTTCCTTTCATTTGCCTGCCCTCGACTTGTGTCAGACCTGGCATTGGACTCCTGGATATGGGGCCGTGTGCTAACTTGCAATAAATAGACTAAAAAGGGGGAACTTTGCAACCAAGCCAAGTCAAACACCACTGTGAAAACCTATCCTGAGTTGCCCTGAGGTGTTTCCAAAAGCAAAGCAAACATTATAAATGAACAGCGTGCTCTAATTCTCCGCCTCGGGGGAAACCAGCATAGGAAGACAGGTAGACTCTGTTTGCAGCTGGGGCAGGCTTCGGGCTCAGAGCCACCCATGGGGTCACTCCACAGACACCCCCCACCACCACCACCAGATTTTCTCCACTGGCCACCTGATTTTGTGAGACTGTTGCTCTGCACCAGGAGACTATGGCAGCCCTTGCAGTGACTGGTCACCTAAGATGCAATAAATAATCTTTGGCTTTGCCCTAGCTGGCTCCGTGAGCTCTAATAAGTCACTAGTTTGTCCTTGACTCTGCTAATGTATCTAAAATCAATATTTGTTGTCTACGTGTCTAGATCTGTAATTCTTAACTTTACCATGCATAAGAATCACCTGGATTGGTCTGGGGCTGACATAAAAACACCCGTTCCCAGACCCAGCTCCTGAAATTCTGATTCAGTAGATCTAGGTCTGGAACCTACCTTTTAACAAGCAACCCTGCAGATGCTAACACAGGCAGACCTCAGGTCCACCTTTAGAAACTCAAAACACGTATAAAACAGCTTGATTTTTATCCCCAATTGTGTTGTGTTAACATCCTAAACTGACTCAATCCCTAATGAGTAATTCTTTCTAGGAACCCAGGCCCATAAAGCAAAATGGCTGCATTCATACGTGCTTGAAGGGAAAAACTGATTGAGTGTTCTCAGTCCCTGGATTGTGCTGTGAGGGCAGAAACAGATATATCACAGTCTCGGCCTTCAGAAAGCCTGAAATCTCGCTGGGGCAATGACTTTTGAGTGGAACACCAGCGAACTGGAGAGTCAGTGAGTGATTCAGGGATGGAGGGACCTGGTCCACCTTGTTCCTGGGTGCTGGAAACAGAGGCTATATCAGCGCATGTGCTTGAGAGAGATGTCAGGGAATCCAGCTCAAAGGACCAAGCCTGAAAAAGAGATCTACCATGTGATGTTGCAGTGATACAGCAGACAGAAAGAAGCTCGCAGTGAGAGTTGGGAGGGCCGGCTGGGAGGAGGGAGGAGAAGAGCCATCAGACCATGGTGTGGTGGCCAGAGGGCAGAGGAGGGCATGGAGGAGGAGATGTGATGAGTGAGAACCCAGAGACAGTACTCAGTGATGCACCTGATGGAGGGGGGAAGGATGTTGAAAATACTGGTAGAGGAGTTTGGTTCTAATGACAGGGGTAGAGGGGGAATGGATTTCTTAGTTGGGGTGTAATGTTCAGAGAACAGTGTCTTCTGGAACAGGCACAGTCGAAGATGAGCTACAAGGTTTGGAGCTTCCATGGATGAATTCCCCGGGATTCCATGAACTGAGTTCCATGGACTTCAGTGTCTGGAGAATGAGGGTGCACTGGGTTGAACAGTGTCCCCCTCTCCAAATTCATGTTCATCCTAGGTCCTCAGAATGTGGCCTTATTTGGACACAGGGTCACTGCAGATGTAACTAGTAGAGTTAAGATGACATCATACCCAAGGAAGGTGGCCTCTTAACCCAATATGACTGGAGTCCTTCTAAGAAGAGGAGAAAAGACAGACACAGAGAAATGATGACAGAAGCAGAGATTGGGGTGACGCATCTGCAACCCAAGGATGGCCAGTGTTTGCGGGCAACCACTAGAATCTAGGAGAGGTGCCTGGATGGACTCTCCCTCCGAGCCCCCATGAAGAATCAACCTACTGACGCCTTGATTTTGGACTTGTAGCCTCCTGATATGTGAGAGAATAGGTTTCTGTTGTTTGAAGCCTCACAGATTATGGCTTTTTGTCCTGGCAGCCCCAGGAAGCTGATGTGGCGGTGGAGGGTGCTGAGGAAGAAAAGAAGGTGAGGACACATCCGTCGGGAGTGAAGGATGGCCAGGCAGTGGCAGTGTCTGCTGAGATGGAGCTGCCACCCCAGGGAACCCGGCAGGCACCCATGCCTCCCTCCAGCGGGGTCCACAGAAGACAGGGGGCAAGGTGCCTCCGAGGAGGCCTGCACACAGGGCGGCTCCCCCTCTGCACCCCTGCACATCTTCCTATTTCCGCTTCCACGTATTTCCTAAACAGATACCACAGTAGCCACATGCTTCGTAAAGATTTCTGAGCCTCCTCCGGAAATTAAAGGATTTTTCTGGTTATTAAATGTGTACCAAATGATTGTTAAGAGCAGGTCTTGTTTTTCCATTTAAGTATTGGGTCGTTTCAAAGAGAAAACACAATGCCCTCATTTTCCTCACTAAATTATAGCCCTGGACTTCCCCTATAAATTCAAAATTGGAGAAGGCTGAGGGCAGAATGGCCCCATTCACACACACACAAAAAAAAAAACTCGAAAGGCTAGTTTCCCGTGAGTCTCGGGCTCTGGTGGCTTTCCCCCAACCCGTGTGTTAAGTCACTTACGGCTTGCCATCATCATTGATATCATCTCTCTCTCTGTTCCCTTTCCTCCGTGCCATTTCCTAAAAGCAACCACACAAAGGTTGCTCTCCTGTCATATTAGGGTGGCTTGTGTGCGCTGAGGCTACAAATTGGTAAAAATTAAAAAATTAAAAAAAAAACAAAGCTGTCTCATCCAGACAGCTGGATTGCAGAAGGATGCCCCTGTCTGGGTGGCTGACTTACAAAAAAGTGCCAAGTGAGCCTCTTTGGGAGGAAAGGACATGACCCCCGGGCAGGGAACGAGGCTTGGCCAGTGGAGCCTGGTTGGGTTTTAGCTGCCAGGAGGCCCCTGTTTGCACAGAGCCAGCGCCCCACGGGCAGACCCAGCAAGCTCGGCCCCACTCCAGAACCAAGGAGGGTTTGGTCAGCTCTTCCTTGGAGCTCAAGGACTCTGCTAAGGGTGCTCCCAGCTCGCTGTGGGCCGCCCTGTGTGCACGTCTTGCCCTGCTACTGTCAGTCCTCACCTTTCCCAGTCACAGCGAACCCTCATAACACAGTTTTTGAACTTAAATGCACGTACCTCATCTGAGACTGGAAATCTTATTTTACTCTACCAACCTGCTGCCATACGAGCAGCTTCTCCCATCCGTGGTCCCACGGGTCTTTCCTAACTCAATCCAGACAAGAGATGTCAGGCAAAACTCTGCGTAGCAGGAAAAGCCAACTTTTAATCCTCCAGGACCAGAGAAAAAGGCACTATTAGTATTCAGTCCCTGTTGCTCTTCTCGCTTCTCTCATACTTGTCCCAGCGCACAAAGGTATCCCCTTCTTGTCAACAGTGTCACCATCAGTGGTGGAGACGGAAGATTGACCACCGTGGAGGGCCATCATTTCCATCCGTTTCCTTCCATGCTACCCAGCAAGCAGCAAAGGAAATTAAACCACAACCCTCTTGAGGCCGCCCCCGGCGATCGTGCTCCTGGAATAACATGGAAGTCTCTGGCAGCAGGTCTGGGGCGCGGCTCATAACTCAGCCCTTGCGGGGTGGCTGATGCAGGTGTCTGGAGGTGGTTGAGACCCTGGTGGCAGCAGTTAAGGTGACACATGTGACCTGCACGGGGGAACAAAGTCTCAGTTAGGCGGTGATGAAATAAGGAGTGATTTCTAGGCCTCGTTCCGGCTTCCCTGGGCTTAGGGCAGGCCTTTAAGGTGATTTATGTGAAGGCTTTGAAGTTAGGTACTTTCATAGCTCTTGCCCAGCCTGCTTGAGTTTGCTGAAAGATAGGAGTTATTGGAAATATGAAAGATCAATCTGACGGAAGAGAAAAGAAAACAGACTCGGAGCTGCTTCCTTTTGGGAACCAGAGAAAGCCTGTGCGCCCTGCCATCTCTTTTCCTTCCTCCGCCAGGCTGGCTTCTCCCGTGGTGGGAGGGAGCCCCGTGGGAGTGATGAGCATTTGCTCTGGGGACCCAGCCAGGTGACCCACACCAGGACAGGGAGCTGCCCTGCTGCCTCCTGGGCCCCAAACTCCCGGCCTGGTTCTGAATCTGGAGGAATCTGCCCCCAGGAGAAAGGCTTATTTATATTTAAATTCAATTTGCCAACCTCTAGTATAGCACCCAGTGGTCATCTCATCATGTGCTCTCCTTAATGCCATCACTCAGTCACCCCATCCCCCAACCCTCCTCCCCTTCAGCAACCCTTTGTTTCCCAGAGTTAGGAGTCTCTCATGGTTTGTCCTCCTCTCTAGTTTTTCCCCACTCAGTTTCCCCTTCTTCCCACATGGTCTCTTTCACAATTTCTTATATTCCACATGTGAGCGAAACCATAATTGTCTTTCTCCGATTGACTTATTTCATTCAGTAGAACATCCTCCAGTTCCATCCATGTCAATGTAAGTGGTAGATATTCATCCTTTCTGGTGGCTGAGTAATATTCCACTGTATATTACATCTTCTTTATCCATTCATCTGTTGGAGGACATCTCAGCTCCTTCCACAGTTTGGCTATTGTGGACATTGCTGCTATGAACTTTGGAGTGCAGGTGTCCCGTCATTTCAGATACATCTGTATCTTTGAGGTAAATATCCAGTAGTGCAATTACTGGGTCATAGGGTAGCTCTATTTTTAGCTTCTTGAGGAATCTCCATTCTGTTTCCCAGCGTGGCTGCACTAGCTTGCATTCCCACCAATAGTACAAGAGGGTTCCCCTTTCTCCACATCCTAGCCAAAATTTGTTGTTTCCTGTCTTAATTAATTTAAGCCATTCTCACTGGTGTGAGGTGGTATCTCATTGTGGCTTTGATTTGTATTTCCTTGATGGCAAGTGATGCAGAGCATTTTCTCATGTGCTTTTTAGCCATGTGTAGGTCTTCTTTGGAGAAATGTCTGTTCATGTCTTTTGCCCATTTCATGACTGGATTGGTTGTTTTTGGGGTGATAGGTTTGATAAGTTCTTTATAGATCTTGGATACTAGCCTAAAAGAAAGGCTTTTAAATTCACTTAGATTGAGCACAGTCCTTCAGAAACCTCAATTTTGATGACATTAGTTTTTTTGTTTTTGTTTTGTTTTTTGTTTTTTTGTTTTTTGTTTTTAGCTTCCTAGGACTGCTGGAACAAAGTACCACAGATTGGGTAATTTAAAACAGCTGAAATTTATTCTCTCACAGTTCTGGAGTCTAAAAGTCCAAAATTAAGTTGTTGGCAGGGCTGTGTTCTCTGAAGGCGCTATGGGAGGATCCTTCCCTGCCTCTTCCAGCTCTTGGCCGTTGCAGCAATCCTGGGCATCCCTTGGTATGTGGCTACATCATTCCAGTCTTTGCCTCTGGCTTCGCATGATCCTCTGTCCAAGTTTCCTCTCCTTTTTGGGTGAGGACACTAGTCAGATTGGATTAGAGCCCATCCATATGACTTCATTTTGCCTTATTTACCTCTTTAAAGGTTCTGTCTCTAAATATAGTCATATTCTGAGGTCCTGGGGGTTAGGACTTCAACATGGGAATTTGGGGAGCAACACGGTTCAGCACATGCCTTTCCATGCCAAGGTGGTGAGGGTTCAGAGTCACGTCATCATTCAGTTGTATGGGGGGGGGGCATGAAGCTTCTTTAATTCTCTTCATCCTGAGTCCTTGTCCTATGGTTGCAGAGGAGATTTTAATATTTGACCAGTATTAGTATTACCTTCATCCTTTCTGGTTGAAATGATCATCTTTGAGGGAAGCAGGCTTCAAGAGGGAAATGTTTACTGGTAGGGTTCATCTCTCATGAGTGCTGGTTCTCTCCTCCTTGCACTCATACTGTGTTGGCAGCCAGTGCACAAGACAGCTCACAGTCCCCATGGGGACATGACTGATCTCCCATCCAGTCCTGCCCTGGCCTCTTCTACCAGGAAGCTATGCTTATCCTGGTGATTGTGCTGATAGATACCTACTCAGGGAAGCATGGGTTGGGTCTGCCTTCTGGACGTCCAGCTGATGTCCTTACTGAAGACAAGGGACTGAGGGACTAGGATTAGGGACTCTCACATGGGACCAAGACACTTTGGAGATCCCTCAACATCTGATGGGATGCCTACTCCATCCCTGGCCAAGGTGGACTCCTTGCAGCCATTAGCTCCCAGCCAGACTTTTAGCTACATGCTGTACTTCCTTTGGGGACATGTGAGGATCCCTGGGTCACTTCCAGGCCTCAGAGGAGATGAAGGAAGCCAGGAATCCCAACTCAGGCTCACTCATCCCACCTTCCCTGGACCACATTATGCTCCCCGACACCCAAGCATCCCCATGTTGGGATGGGGTTATCTCCTCCAAGGATTCAAACAGGAAGCAGAAGAAAGGCCCGTTTTCTTTGGGCTCCCCCAGAATATTCAATTTGGGGGATATTGAGGCAAGTGTATGTGACTACCAGCTTCCCCTTCCTTGGTCTCCCTTCTCCTCCTTGTCCACCAGAGCTGGAGAGAACTGAGCTTCTTCTGTTCCTTGGGCAAGAACTTGAATGCAATGTCCTGAGTTTTCTAGATTATAAGAATTTCAGAGATCAAATCTCTATGCTTTGTTCTTTATATGGTGATAGGAGCTAAAGGAATTTTAAAAATTATCTCTTGCCAATCAATGCCTGATTCTCAAGAACAGTCTTGCTGAGAATATAAAAACCTATATTAAATATCAGAAGCAAATAACCTAGTCTTTCTTGCTAGTTCTTCTCCATGCCCTGCCTCCCAGGGCAGCCAGAAGAGCAGCCCTCTCTACCCACAGATCCTCCAACCCAGTTGGGACTCCTAGGATATCCCACCTCTCTGTGGAGCCAACCCTGAGACCAGCAGAACAGGACAGAGCCTCTCACCACCTACTTGCTCTAGGGCTGCCTTCTTTCCTCCTTGGACCCAGGAGTATCTACTGGTCATCCAGGGATTTCCTCTCAGGTAACAAGAAAACAAATGAACTAGTGGAAAAAACTGGCTTGACATGTATTCTTTCAAGATCAGGTCTTCCTACTCCTGGACCTCAGTTCTTAAGATGAGGGCCGGGTATCTGACCAAGTCCTTCTTGGTTCTAATATTCCCATCTCTCCCAGCCTAAACAGCTCCCAGCAGAAATGGGGGGTGTATGCATTTTCTGTAACTGCCATAGTAAATCACCACAAACCAGGGGCCCCCAAACAACAGAACTTGATTCTCTCACAGTTCCGGAGACCAGAGAATGAAATCAAGGTGTCATCAAGGCCATGTTCCCTGAAGACTTCAAGGGCTGTAAGGAAGGATCCTTTCCTAGCTCTTCCACCCTCTGGGGGCTCTTGGCACTCCTTGGTTTGCAGCTGAATCACCTCAATCTCTGCCTCATCTTCATACGGCCTTTCTCTCTCCTGTGTTTCTTTTCTTCTCTTATAGTGACACCAGCCATTAGATTTAGGGCCCACCCTAATGTAGTATGACCTCATCTTAATTACATCTACAAAAACCTTACTTCCAAATAAGGTCACAAATAAGTTTCCAGGTGGACATGAGTTTTGGGATGGAGCAACACTATTCAACTCACTACAGGGTCTCAGGGGTCAATGCTTCCTAATATTGCTCACTCTGGTGGTGAAACTCCAAGTACAGAATGAGTATTCAGGAAGAGAAAGGTGCCTGTTCATCCTCACCCATTCCCCATTCAAATATTTATTTGAAAGCAGTATGGGTTTTCATAATTGCCTCACACATGCCTTCCAAAGGTGGCAGCTCCCTCAAATATTGGCCTACAGCGTTCGCTCGGGGCTCACCCACACTCCCCCTTTCTGAAACCGCCCTCCCCTTCCCCTGGTCATTTATACCCATTTGCCTATTTGTTTATACCTTTTCTTGTTCCAAAAAGGATTTCAGGCAGATGGTTTTTATTACCGGGCTAAATGAACACAGCAAGATCCTGTAGCAAATACAGTGTTCTCTGCAAACATAAATTTCCATGAAACCAACATGAAAAAACCCAAAAGCACTTGGAAATTAAAATGATGGTGTTAAGTTTGACATTGGGCTCCTTTCTTATTTTCGTTGACTCTCTGAAACATATTACATTCCTCGCTGTTCTGCCTTTGCGAGCTTTGTGTGTTTCTTCTTGTTTTCTGATTAACCTCTTTATGGAAGAGGCCTCCGGTGGAGAAGGGAGATTTGGGATTATTAAGAGCTGGAAGGTACGGATTCAAGTGCCTTGTCTTAGGACCAAACTTCAGAAAGGAGGTTGTGAGTAATGTCCATCAGGGCACAAACAAATATCATTCTATGCTTATCAGACTGAATATTGAGAATATTCTTCTTCCTTTGAAAAAGGGCCTCTTGGTGTCTGCGTGTCTCAAGAGCCTGACTTTCTCATCCACAAACTGCCTGATCCATGGCAACTGAGATGTTTTAAAACTGTCTGAAGCCAGGACCCAGAAAAGCCATGTTGCCTGCTCAGCTGCAATGAACATAAGCCAGGATTGGAACAGAGAGCAAGGCCTTTCTGAAAATCATGCTTAAGACCTGCTCTTGTTCACTCAACAAATCTTGATGGAGTGTTCAGTGCCCTCCTGCAGAGCTCCACCGTGACCCCACTTGCTCATCACGACTGCCTTTTCGATGGCTTGAGGGCTGGCGACTCTGGGCTGGCAGCTTATGGAGGAAGGAACTTAAGCTTGGGTCAGAGGCCCAGATTCTTCTATGAGCAGCTGTGAGGACTGCACAAGATGCCTAAACTTGATAACAGATGCCTCACAGAGTCGTCTGTAGGATTAGATAATAAATAGTCTTCATGTAAGCACTCAGCAAATTAGAAGGCATAGGAAACCCAGACGTGAGGCACCAGCATCAGTAGACTGTGCATGGAGTGGGTAGCAATTAGAAGGAGTCCAGGGCGGGCGAGGCCTTTGTTCAGAATGGCAGGTGGATGACCCGGCAGTCTTCTCTGGTCCCACCTGGAGCTAGGCTGCCTGCCTGCCAGCTCCTGCAATGTGCTGCATGACCGCCTCTTCCCTTGGTAGCCGCCGGCCTGCACCAGGCTGAGTGGGCCTTCCCACAGCGACTCCCTGAGGAAAGAAGGGCTCACTGCAGGAAGACCACTGCTTCCTGGCCTTAAATCCTGATAGTCCTCTGTCCTCCCAGGTGGGCCAGGGTCTGGATTTGGCATTTGGCTCTCAGAATTATCATCTAGAATAGAGATAAGAGAACAATGTTGTCTTGGTTAATATCTGAGAACATTTATTCCAATGAAACTCCTTTTTTTAAGATTTATTTATTTATTTATTTATGAGAGACACACACACACACACACAGAGAGAGAGAGAGAGAGAGAGAGAGAGAGAGAGGCAGGCTCCATGCCGGGAGCCTGATACAGGACTCGATCCCAGGACTCCAGGATCACACCCTGAGCTGAAAGCAGACGCTCAACCACTGAGCCACCCAGGCATCCCCTTGCGGTAATGAACTACCGCAAGACCACACTGGATGGGGTGGCCCCACTCAGAATGGCTAATATAAAACACACATCTTATGTGTATGTGTGTGCATGTCTTTTATTGTGGTAAAATACACATAACATAAAACTTACCATTTTAATCATTTTTAAGTGTACAGTTCAGTGGCGTTAGGTACATTCACATTGCACAAACATCACCACCATCCATCTCCACAATGTGTTCGGCATGCGAAACAGAAACTCTGTCCCCATTAAACACTAACTCCCCAGTCCCCAGAAACCACCATTCCACTTTCTGTCTTTATGAATCAGAGTCCTCTAGGGACTTTATATAAGTAGAGTCATGCAATTTTTGACTCTTATGACTGACTTATTTCACTGAGCATAATGTCTTCAGGGTTCACCCATGTTGTGGCAGGTGTCATAATTTTATTCCTTTCTATGCCTAAATAATACTGCATTGTATGGATAGACTTCATTTGCTTATCCATTCATCCATCAGTGGATATTTGGGCTGCTCCCACCTTTTGGCTACTGTGAATAATGCTGCTATGAACATGGGCACACACATGCTTGTTTGAGTTTTCAGTTTCAATTCTTGTGGCCTCTTAATATTTAATACATAATTCTTTGGTGGTCACTATTTATCAGATGATCTCCAAGCACTTTGGCTGTGAAGTTACTGGTATCTATCTCATCCGACAGGTTAAATCTTCCTGTGTCCAGAGTACAAAAGAACAATTAGCAAAAACAGGATCATGTTGAAATGTGTGTTGGTGAGGTTGCTGTCAGCTTCATCATGGGCACCAGATAAATAAAAGTGAGGTCATGTGTCACAGATGTGTTGTTTAAATTTCAGAAATGTCCCATTTCATACCAAGTGACCAGCATTAGCCAACATATTTATGTTCAGACAGCTCCAGTGAAGCCCTGCTTGAACTAAAATCTACATAGTCTTCCAGGATAAAAGCATAAACAAGAACCTATTTAATTTATTTCCCCGTGGTCTCCCCTATTAAATACATTTGCCATCAGTTCACTTGTGTATTGGAAATGTCCCCAGTAAGCAAAATTCTTTCTGATACTCTTTCCAGGTAGACTACAAAGCACTATTAACCCTAGCTATTTCTGAAGGATTTTTTTTAAGATTTTATTTATTTATTCATGAGAGATGCAGAAACAGAGGCAGAAGGAGAAGCAGGGTCCCCGCAGGGAGCCTGATGTGGAACTCGATCCCAGGACCCTGGGATTATGACCTGAGCCAACAAAGGCAGAGCCTCAACTACTGAACCACCTAGGCACCTCTTTCTGAAGGATTCTTTCAAGAAATAGGCAAAGGCTATAATTAGTTGATGGAAAATGAGGGTTCTCCCCTACTAGTTGCGTGGCTTCCAGACCCTTACTTGGTTTGTCTTCATTTTCACTTTGTTGTCATTTAACTCGGGAGAGAATGTGTCCTGAGGCAGCCAAGGAAGAAGCTTCAGGAAACAAAACAAAGCATAAGATTAGGAGGGCATCTTGCTTTTGCTCTGTATTTGAATATGAACTTGACTGATACAGCATCTTCTGCTCTATCAGTTTAACTTGCATTCAAGTATCAATGCTGCCCGCTGAGATTCCCTGGTCCTAGTGAAAATCACGGTCTCATTCCATGTAGTAAGGAACTAGTGAGCTACAGATATCACCAGCTGTTATGGGTTGAATTCTGTCCCCCCAAAAAGGTATGTTCCTAATTCTGGTACCTGTGAAGATGACTTTATTTGGAAATAGAGCCTTTGCAGATACAATCAAGTTATGATGAGCTCATTAGAGTGGGCTTTAATTCAGTATGTCTGGCGTTCTTATAAAAGGGAGATGCTGGGGGTGCCTGGGTGGCTCAGTTGGTTGGGCATCCAACTCTTGATTTCAGCTCTGGTCATTATCTCAGGGTCCTGGGATCAAGACTTCCATTGGACTCCACACTCAGGAAGGAGTCTTTTTGAGATTCTCTCTCTCCCTCTCTCTCTGCCCCTCTCCTTTCTCTCTCTCTCTAAAATAAATCTTAAAAAGGGGGTGGGGAAGCCATGTGACGAATGAGACACAAAGGAAAGAAGCCATGTAAAGACAGAAGCAGAGATTGGAGTAATACAAACTGCAGGCAGAGGAGGGCTGAGGATTGACAGCCACCGCCACTGGAAGCTGGAAGAGGCAAGGAGGGATCCTACCTAGACCTAGAAGGGAGCGAGGCCCTGCTGCTACCTTGATTTTTGACTTCTCCAGAACTGAAAGAATACATTTTTATTGTCTTAAGCCACCCAACTTGTGGTACATTGTTACAGCAGCCCCAGGAAACTAATACACTGGACAGCTTTGAAGGCTACTCACTTGGTGAAAAAGTAATAATCCCCTAGTCTGACTTTGCAATTCACTCTTTATGTCAGAAAAGCACCGCTTAAACCCAAAAATATGGGATTTTCAAATCCAGACTTAACAGACATTCACACATAAATGATCATATTCTCGCCCTCCTCCTGTCTCACTTGTCTCAGGGCAGTTCTAGAGTGTTTCCCTAAAGAAAGTATCTTTTCTTCCAAGTGGCCCCAGGGCTCCCAATTCTAAATGCAGACTGTGGCTGAGCATGGATGGCCTGGCATGCCCCATACCCCTCCCGGTGAAAGGCCAGCAAGCCCCCAGCCATCCTCAGTTAAGAGGCCCTGTTTCTGTGATGGATACACAGATGCACACCTGTCCCTGCCCCCTCAGCCCTGTTGCAGGGTGGAATGGCTGTGAGGCTGGTTGTGTCTTTGTTGCAGTTGGGCTTCTCTTCCTGCCTGAGTCAATAGCTGACAGGGAAGGAGCCTTCCCCACCAAGCTGGTTCCTCCACAGATAACACTATTGTCAATGCCAGGACCCCAGAAGGACCCCGAGCCAGCACCTTAGCAACCTGGTGCCTGTAAGAGCCCTCCTTCTGAAGAAGCAGCAAAAACTCTCCTTCGGTGACAGGAGCCTGGCAGCTGCCAACTGATTTTGAGGATCTGGTTTATATAGTGATATGAGCCCAGATGCTGAGGCCAATCTGCCTGGGTTCAAGTCTGCCACTTAGAGCTGGATGACTTTGGGCAGGTCATTTATCCTCTTGGAACCTCCATTTCCTCATCCATAAAATGGTGTTAATGGTAGTGCCTAGAGTAACGGGCTATTTTATGGGTTCATTTAGTAAATATATGTAATGTGCTTAAAGCCACAACGAGCACACAATTAGTGCTATGTTAGTATTGAGGATCATTTTATTATTGTTACTACTAATAGGAGGCATCCACCACAGTTGAACCTGTGCCAACTTGACATGTAATCTGGAACAAGAATTTCCATGGGAGTCTAGTGGCTTCCACGGGATATGCTGTCGATAAATTGAGCAAGGTCAAGTTCTGTAATGGCCTTTACCCCAAGAAGAGAGCTAAGAGTCTGCTAACTGCAGACTCAAGTTGCCTGCTTGTGTGTTACTCAAATCAAAAGGAACCCAAAACAGTAACCCAAACCACAGGTTTATTGCATATATATAACCTCCCTTTCATTAATTTGTTCATTCAACAAACTTTTTACCCACTCCCTAATGTGTGTCAGACCCTAGTCCAGCAATGTGAGAAATCAAAAAATGAATCAGACTTCAAACACCAGTTGAGAGCAGAATAAAGGTGATCTATTCATCTATCCATCTTCTGTCCATCTGTCTATCCAACCATCCTTCCATCCATCCATCCATCCATCCATCCATCCATTAATGTATCTGCCCATGCATCTAATCTGAAGCATCTACTGGCTTCTATCATATCCACAAAGACAGAAGTCACCCTAGCTCAGTGGAATGACTTTAGGGGTAGACCTTCTTCTTCCCAATGCTCCTATGTCCCCTGATCGGTGTTTGAGATTTCACTATTAAATCTTTATCCCATAGACTTAAAAATACCTCCTGGGTGGGGTAAAATGTTAAGCTGTTATGAGTCATTTGCACCTGAGAGTTTAAAAAAGGATCCAAGGGTGGACTTTGATGGCAGGTAGGAGAAACAAGGATGAGGGTCCCGGGTGGGAAAGGAGGGCTGGAGCCCCCAAGCTGGCCTCCCTGCCTGCCAGTTGTCCCTAGTACAGCTGGCTCTGTGTGCCTGAGACCCCACACTCTGAGGGGGCAGGAGCAGTATCCGTCTTGCTCACCAAGCACCTGTTGCTCACATATGCTGGAGTTCAATCAATCAATCAATTAATCAATAATTGATAAACCTGTGTCTTTGCCCTCTGTCCCAGGAAAGGCTCATTTGTCCATCAGGAGCCACTCACCAGGGCCATGGGCCTGGGAGCTGTCACACTTCAGCCCAGAACAGGAATGAATTGTTCCAGAGAAAAATCAAGATTAATAAAGGTTTAACGAAAGTTCTACAAAACATAATATTATGTCTACTTTGCTCACAGTTAGATGTAGCATTTATTTAAAAAATCATAATCTTTTTAAACAATTTAGGATTCTCATTATGTCTGTTTCTGCAGGATTTCCCAAAAATACACAGTCAGTGCCAAGAAATCAAAAGCAGTTGTAAACTAAGTGTATTACTTGCAGCCAAATCACCCCAAAAACAAAAGTATTACAGATCATCCCCCAACATTTCCAGTATTACAGATCGTGCAGGTGCATTTTACTATAGATGATAGTTACTGAAGAGAAGAGGCTCTGGACCTGTGATGGCTCTGAACCAAAGACGATTTTGTTTATAACGGTTACTTCTGGAGAAGAGGTTTGAAGAAAAAAAAAAAAAGCTACGTGGATTTAGTTTGCAGGTCAATCCTCCATCAGTAATATCTAACAGACACTTCTGAACTACTCCAACCTCGAAGCGGTTCCACAAGACACCCCATCTGCCATCAGGCTCCCAATGCCAGGGACACAGGAGCCAGGTTCTGGTTCATGCTCAGGGCCGTTTGCCTACTGTTGAGTTCCTTCACTGTCTTTAAGTATCAGCCAAAGCCGTGCAGATGGAGGACTGCTGTGAAGAGAGCACAGAAGCCCAAGTCCCCGCCCTTGGAGTGTAGCAATGGAATCAGTGAGAAAGGGTTAGGCATGTGGGTCAAGTTAAACCACAGTTCTCAACAATTCTGTATCCCAGAATGGCTGGCTGCACACCTGGACGGGCTGGGGGCATTCCCAGCACAGCCCTGTTCCCTCCGCCACCCTCAGGAGCTATCCTACCTTCAGAACTATGTCCAGTCTTACCTCCCAAACTTCTTGTACATCCCAAGAAAGCCAGCTTCTCCTTTTGGCACTGGCTTCACATTTCACCTTGTCCATTATCTCCAACTCGTACCAAACCAGCCGTCCTTCCATGCAGTGCTCCAAGACCCACCCCGTTCCATACTCTACCAACATATACCGCCTAACTGCCCAAGTCTGCAATTGTAGCCGACAAAATAAAACGCAGTTGCATGTTGGTTCAAAATTCAATGGCTTGTGTCCAGAGCACACCAGCCTGCAAGTTGAGAAACTCTTGAGTTGCTCAATATGATAAAAGTCCCACACAGTATGGGGACAACTGCCAGGTGACCAGCCCAGGGGAGGATGGGTGGTCAGGGCCAAAGGAGGGGATCCTTGGCAGGAATCAGGCCATTCATTGGGAAGCCATGAGTAAGGACACAGAGGAGTGCACAGCCAATGGGCCTGGTACAGGGAGTGTGGGCGGGTGGGCTGGGCTGACAGGGGATGGTGCTGGGCTGGGCAGTCAAGGCTTTATCCTGTCAGCCCTGGAGAGTCACCAGAGGGTGTTTTAGGGACAAGATGACTATGTTCAGATGTATTGGGCATTTTTCCAAAGTGTGGAAAGGACATTTCTGGTTGGTCCTGAAAGTCTGCCTTGGCCCACCTGCCTCATATTACGCACGGGGCAGTTAACCATTCAACCGATGACACATGTGCCCGCGCGGGCCCTTCTCAAAGAGCAAGGTAACACTTTTCTCTCAAAAGTGTTTGAGAGAATCTGGCTTTGAAGCTTCCAGTTGGTGCAAGAGGGAAGACAGGAGGGCGGCGGCATCCCTAAGGAATCCTTGTTTCACACAGGCTGGCCCCCAGCCAGAGTCCAGAGCAGCCCCACTGATGAGTGACCTGATGAAGCGGATGGGACTCAGGGCCCCTGCATGTGAGTCTGGGATGAGGCTATGGGAGGGTTTAGGATTGACAGTCATTTGTCTTGGGGCCATGAGGCACCACTGACCAGAGGCATGGTCAGGCAAGTGTTCTCCAGGTGACACAGTCCATATCCCTCTGCAGAAATGCAACTGACGCAGGGTTGGAGGTCCCTGGGGGACCCCAGCAGGCAAGGGTGAGGACAGCTGGGTTCCTAATGAGCCAGGAAGGACAAGACACCGTTCCTGAGTGTTTGGGCAGAACTCTTTCATCACTGGCTGGCCCCGGTCCGGGAGCAAGGGCTAAATCTGTTGAGTGTTTCAAGGTGGCATCAGCTTGAGCTCACTGTCACTAACCCTTTGCATTGTGACTGGCTTATTTCTCCTGCAAAGAGTGCCAAATGGAGCATCCAGAGTTTCCAGGCATGGGAGCTTTTTCCTCCCCACAACCTGTACCCCTCTCCACCAGCACACACAAACACACACACACACAAAGGCATGGGAGAAGGGGCAGGAAAGTTATAGATCTCTCCTAATAAGGGTAAAACGGGGGAATTTCCATGCAATCTGATCCGTGAGTTAATCCTTCAACTACCTTGAACCCCACATCCCCAACAGCTGCCATGGTCTTCCCAAGATGGGCGGTCCTCCTGAGGCCTGCTGGGAGGGCCACAGGCAGAGTAGAAAGGGATCCGGGATTAGCGCCCTGAGAGGGTCCCCAGACCGTGGAGTCACTCAGGACACTGGTTTTTGGCTGCACATTCCCACCAAGAGATTTAATTCCTGCAGTTTTCAAGGTCAAAAATCTCTTAATCACTCGGTTTAGTTTTGAAGTCTTGGGAACCAGAGAAGAGCCCCCATTGCTGCGTTCTCCAGCGACAGCACCAGGTCTCGGCTGGCTTTGATGGAGTCGGGAATGGATTTATCTGTAATGATGATAAATCTTCAGCAGCACAGATCTTGCATTTGTTGGGTGTCCTTACAGCGCTTATAGGTCTTTACATATATATTATCTCAGCATCTTCTAGACAGTTCTGGGAAGCAGCTGTTATGATGTAGATAGCCAGGTGAGTCATTTAAGGCTGAGCTGTTAGCTCAAATTAGTGAGACTTGAAGTCGGCCTCCATTCTTATCTGGCACCATCTCCTTGGCAAAAATTTCTTATGGTTACTGTGTTTTACTTACCCACATCTATAATGGGACCAATGCTTTTTAAGCATCTACAGAGAAATCTGTTTAAAAAAGGAAGAAACGCAGATTCTTTCTTTGGTACCATGAAAATGTTACTATAAGTATTTGTTTTCCAGTTTTTTTTTTAAGTAAAAATCAATACAATTGAACGTCAGTTTTTGTTTTTAAAAAGTTATTCTCAGGATCCCTGGGTGGCGCAGTGGTTTAGCGCCTGCCTTTGGCCCAGGGCGCGATCCTGGAGACCCGGGATCGAATCCCACGTCGGGCTCCCGGTGCATGGAGCCTGCTTCTCCCTCTGCCTGTGTCTCTGCCTCTCTCTCTCTCTCTCTGTGACTATCATAAATAAGTAAAAATAAAAAAAATAAAAAAATAAAAAGTTATTCTCCACTTATATCAGAGTATCTTCCATTACACAGAACAAGAAGTCTAAAAGGCTGTTTTCAATGCTTCTTCCGATGTCTTTTTTTAAAATGCAGACAATCTTGCCAGTTCAGGAGTGATTCTTGGCACTTTTAAACTCAAACATTCCTCCCTGCAGCTGATCTTCATATTCCTTGCACTGTTTGCGGGACCAGTGGCCGCCAGGGCCACAGGCTTTTCCCTGGGCTGCCAATAGCAATAATGCACCGGGGATTTTCCACTGGGGGCCGTGTGCTGGGAGGGTGCCCAGGGCTTGCTCTCAGAGGGCCTCCCGTGTGGGGGACTCTGGAAGGGACAAGGAGTATCTGGGACTCAGGCACCTCACCACTTCTTGCTAGGGGCTGGGGACCCTACCAGAGGGTAGGAGCTTGGAGCAGAGCCTCCCAGAAGCAGCAAGCCACCCAGAGGCAGCTGTTCCCTAGACTTGGATGTGCACACCCAATGCCATGCACACCTACAGCCTCCCTGGAACAAGAGGAAAGTGAAAACAGATTTAGTACGACAGGTCTGTTTCCATTGGAGGCCGTTCTTGGGCATAGGAGACCAGCAATAGCTTTGTTTTTGAAAGGCTCCTCCTTGGCAGATATTTACAGAGGCATCTGGGCTGCACTTAAATGAGGAAAAAATAAACATAAGAAACCATATTTTTTATCCTGCAGAACACTGCAAAAGTGTCTCCTGTTCCTTTCAACATCTCAACAAGGTGTACTCATGGGTTTAAGGGAGAAAAAAATCCCAACGTCCAGTTCCTCACTCTATCCATAACCAGCAGGGCAGGCTTCAATCTGCCAGGTCCCATAGGACCCCACCCTCAGGAGAGCCCCATGCTTGTTTAATGTACTGTACTAGCTTATATTTCATTCATCTTCAAATTCTTAGTGATTTTTTAACAAGGGGTTCCCATTTTCATTTTTACACTGGCTTCTTCTGCAGAAGTCCTGAGGGTGGGCAAAAGTAACCAATGGTGGCCTGTACTCTTCAGAGAAAAATGCACAACATGGCCCTTTGTCTATGTTTGAAGACTAAGCTAGAAATGCCATGCACTATTTCATCAGTGAGGCTTTTGCCTTTATGAGGACTTCTGCAATCTGAAATTTCATGCCTGACCCAACGAATTCTAAACTTCTTAAATGTTTTAAAAGCACATACCTGAAAGTATCACTGGTCTCCCTCCGAGGGCTGAGCCAGTCATACATAGCCTTACCAATGTGAATGTTATTCTTTGGGACCAAGGACAGGAGGAGATTTGTTTCCAGGGGCCATCCAGGAAAATGTAAATGCCTCCTGGGGTAACTTCTTGGCCAAGATCAATACATGAGGTGGGCTGAGTGCCCAGGACAGGCTGGGGTCTCCAAAAGAGGACTGGGGTGGTAAGAACAAAACTCTGGGGGGCACTGGGAGGGCACTTGATTGTCCAAGTCCTTGAAAGAATGTTCTAGGCTCATGTATCCCATCCTGATTCTCTCTTGAACCCATAAAATCACTCCACTAACACCGTGCTTATCAGGGTCTGCAGTTTCCTTCATGTTGCTAAATCTAACAGTCATTTCTCAGTTCTCAGATTACTTCATTTGTCTGATGACCTGGTATAATGGATTACTCTCTCCAATGTGGATCTCTTTTCGCACTCACCACTCTGGGTTGCCTCCTCCTTTGTGGCCACTCCTGTGTCCCATGCTGCTGCCTTGTCCTCATCATCCAATCTCTAACGTTGGAGGGCTCCTGGAGTCATTGGGAAGACGAAGGTCTAGGCTTTCATCCAATCTCACGGCTCTTAATCCCAGATCTATGCTGTTGTGTCCCAAATCTAACCACGGATGTCCCTACCTGGGCGGTCATAGGCATCTCAAATTCAACATATTCAAGACAAAACTCCTCTTTTCTGCCCTTCACCCTCCAAAACTGCCCACCTCCTACTGTTTTCATCTTCTCAATAAATGGGGCTGCATTTGACATCTAGCTCTGACACCCCATGGGTCGTCTGCAACAACCTTATTTCCAAATAAAGTCACATTCTGAGGCATTAGGTATTAGGATTTCAACATTATCTTCTTGGATGGACATAATTCAACCCATAACACCCCTTACATAAATCTTTCCCTTGAAACATTTTAACTATGAATCATTTAATTTAACAGTTTAGACAATACCCATGTCTTTTTACTCTTTTTTTTTAAAAGATTTATTTATTTATTTATTTGAGGGAGAGAGAGAGCATGTGTGTGTGCACTAGTTGAGGGAGGGGAGGAGGGAGAGAATCTCAAGCAGACTCCCTGCTGAGCACAGAGCCCAACTTGGGCTCAATCCCATGACCCATGAGATCATGACCTGAGCTTAAACCAAGAATCAGACACTTAACCAACTGAGCCACCCAGGCGCCTCATATTTTTTAAAAATATTTTTCTTGTGTAATAGGTTTTTATTCTCCTATACCTTGAAAAGTGAAAAACAACAACATAAGAAATCTATACAACTATCTTGTCAGGAAAAACAGCTATGCAAAGGCACCAGTATGTTTTAGTACATGAAATTCAATAGTTTCATTTAGAAATATTTATCTGCTGTATTTTGAATGGATTCTAAATGAAATTTGGTGAGCTGAAATTAGAGAGATAATGCCTCCTGAAGAATGGTTTAGAATTTTTACGGCTGTGGTTATTTAAACTTGCATTTTTCACTAAATCAATAGATTGCTCAATCTCGCTGAGTTGAAAATGGTCTCTACAAGCATCCAACCACATAGCCATGGTTTTCATTTGTATTAACACAGGCTTCTCCCCAAACCAGTCCTTATTATAAAAAATAGATTTTTCTTTGGTCATCCAAAAGAGAGGGGAAAAATTTAATCTATAAATTGTCATGTCTATATGATGCGGGCAAGATATTTCACATGA